TAAGTATTCCACAGTTGAAATTCTGGCGACTAAACTGACTACTTGACTCAAAGCTCTTCCGAGTGAGGCAGCTTGTTAGCAAGCCATTAGGATGAAAAATGACAAAGGATGGAAGAACTCTCTCTGAGTCAACAGCCAGCTAACTAGAGGTGGTGTCTCCATAAATCACCATGGAGAAGGCAATGGGAAACCATTCCACTATTAATCCCAAGTTATATTATGGCTAACAAAACACACAATATAAAGCCTAATGTCGTGAAGGGGGTTAAGTCTATGAAAGTTAACTCCTCACCCAGTAAGGACAGACATGCGCAACAGGTGTCACCTGACCATCATCCAGCGAATGCTAGCATAACTGGTGTAAAAGGGGATAACATTCATTGGAACCTATCCCTCACCCGAAAAGGAATGAAATGAGCGACAGGTGTCACTGGACTGTTATTTTGTGACTGTTCACATCAAACATAAAATAACTCTTGGGACATGGAATGTTCAGACATTGAACAACTATGGCCAGCTAGATAATGTAAAACAAGAAATGAACAGGCTAAAAATCAACATCCTAGGCATATGTGAAACCAGCTGGCCAAACAACGGAGATTTTATTAGCGATGAGCACAAGATTATTCATGCCAGCAGAGAGAAAAACAACAGAGGTTTAAGATTAATATTAGATAAAACACTTTAAAAATGTGTTCTGGGATATTGCCAAGTATTCAAAAGAATTCTGGTAGTCAAGCTGAAAGGAAAAAAGCCTTTCAATATATCTATCATAATAGTGTATGCACAGACAGCGCAAAGTAATGAAGAAGAAATCAAAGATTTCTACTTAAAGCTGTACAATACCAAGGCTCTTTGCAAATTATTGGAAGTCATCATTACCATGAGAGACCTAAACACCAAAGTAGGCAGCAAGAGGTCATGGGATATAGCCAGAAAATTCGGACTAGTTACCCACAATGCACATGGAGAAAAATGGATTCAATGGAGCACAGCCAACAGCCAAGTAATAGCCAACACATGGTTCCAAGATCATCCGAGATGATTATGGACATGGAGGAGCCCAGGAGGAGACACTAAAAACCAAATAGATTACATAACTATCAACAAAAGATTCAGGAATGCAATCATTCACTGCAAAATCTACTCAAGTGCCAACTGCTGGCACAATCATAACCCAGTTATATGTAAGCTAAGAGTGAAACTACAGAAACTGAAGAAGGCTAATGCAGCACCCAAGTTGCAATACAATAAGCTCCTGAGGGACCCATACCTGAAAAAAAATATACTGACAATGTGAAAAGAATATATGAGGGACACAATGGAAACTTGAAATGGGACTCACTAAGAGATGCATTAGTGACATCAGCAAACAAGGTCATCCCAAAGGAGAATGGACAAAAAAGAAAAAAAAGAAATGGATGACTGAGGAAATTCTCGACATGATGTAAAGGAGACTAAAAAACTCTGCCATGATACAGAAGAGAATACAGAAAATTACACAATGAAATAAGGACCAAATGCAGACAGTCTAAAAAAGAGTGGCTAAACAAAAAATGTGCAGCAGTACAGAGATTGAGTACTACCAAGAAAGGAGATATGCACAAACAAATGTTATAAAATAAAATAAGACATATATCAGCTGATTTGCAGGCAAATAAACTAACATACTCAAGAGCGAGAGCCAGATGTGAACGGGACAAGGCCCCATCGCAAAATGACCATTATAGGCCCGATGCACGAGTTCCGGTCGAAAAATAAAATAATATTTTAAAGTGTTTCTATTTTTCGACCAATAAAAATGCTTCCCTCCAAATTATTCTCGCGTCGTTTTTCAAGCCTGTTAAGCCATAAAAAACGCCACAAAAGGGGTCACACGGGGAAGTACTAGCAGTCAACAGGAGGCCAGTGAGGAGATCTGTCACGGTCAGTCTGGGCAGTCAGCAGCAGGAGCGCCATGCCAACCAGTGAGAACTACTATGAGAGATCAACCCAGATTGGCAGCCGGCTTATGAACTATACCACAAGGTAGCTGTCCTAAAACCACACGTTCCTATTGAAATAAATCACATAAATCTATTTCTGCTGTTGTCGTATTTCTTTCTTGCAACCATATGCTTGTCTATAACACAAATAAGGCAACTAACAGGACAGAAGACATGCTCGTCAACAGGTTGCTTAAAATCAAAGGATGGAACACTCATATTAGAGAAGGAAAAAATTCTTCGATTGAGCAAGTATATTGGTGAACTCTTCCACGACGAAAGAGAACAACCAGCAATACACAGAACTACTGATGAACCTGAAATTCTAAAAACTGAAGTAGAAGTTGAACTGGCCAAATTGAACAGAATCAAGATAGCAGGCCAGACAGAATTGTAACAGAAATGCTGACAGCCTTAGATGAATTTGGCACAGGCAAGATCACAGAAATAATAAATGAAATCTACAACAGTGGGGAAATACTGGAAGATTTCAGCAGATCTATTTTCATAGCACTAAATAAGAAACCAGGCGCAAATGAATGCAAGCTCCACCAAACAATCAGCCTAATGAGCCACGTAACAAAACTCATCATCTGTATTCTGATGAATAGAGTGCACAGCAGAATCAGGCCAGAAATAGGACAAGAACTTTGTTGGTTTATTAAAGACATGGGAACAAGGAATGCAATATTCATGCTTAGAATGCTATCAGAAAGAGCAATACAAATGCAAAAGGACGTATATCTATGTTTTATAGACTACGCAAAAGTGTTCGACAAAGTACGCCACAAGGATCTGCTGGAACTGCTAAGCAGCCTTATTTGGGAAAGATATTAGAATAATTAAGAACCTATACTGGCAGAAAACAGCATGCATGCACTTTGAGAATGAGTTCAGCAAATATACAAAAACACAGATGACACAGTACTGATAACAGACACAGAAAAGAAACTACAAAATCTCCTACAGAAGGTAGCAAGGGAGAATGAGAAAAAGGGACTAACCATAAACTACAAGAAGACAGAATGCATGGTCATCAGTAAAAGTAAAAGGATGAGCCCGAAATGCAATTTGCAGGTTGGGGACACTAAAATCAAGCATGTGCAGAAGTTTAAATGACTGGGAAGTGTTTTGACAGAGGACAGTAGGTGCAATGCTGAGATCCGAAGACGGATTGGCATTGCCAAGGATGCATTCCAAAAGCTGGGCAGAGTACTGCGAGACAGGAGGATTTCTATGGTGATAAAGAAAAGAGTACTGAGCTGCTACATGACATCTGTCCTTCTATATGGTAGCGAATGTTTGAAGGTCTCCTAAAAGATGAAGAAGAGACTTGAGGCAGCAGAGATGTTTTCTAGAGAAGGATACTAAGGCTATCATGTTGTGAGCATGGGAGCAACAATGAGGTCTTGGAAAGGATATAAAGAAGGAAGCTTATACTTAACATAAGGAACAGGCAGATGAAATTTCTGGGACACATAATGAGAAAGGAGGACCTGGAGAATCAGATACTCACAGGTCAAATAGAGGGAAAAAGAGACAAGGGAAAGCAATGTATGACATACCTGGCGGGCTTAAGCAAGTGGATGGCAGAATGTGGTCTGGGGGAGTTGGCAGAGGCATGAAACTTATAGAGACCCACAAGGGATAGGGGGGAGTGGAGAGCCATGATTGCCTACGTCCTGAAAGGATATGGCACATAAAAAGAAAAGAAAGAAAACTGCAAGAGGCTAGTGACCTTATTAAAGGTTTTAATCACCTAACAAAGAATACAGAAAGTAAAAAGAAATATACCAAAGTGGAACAGTACATCCAAGATGGAATAGAGGGTTTAAATAGTTCATAGATAAAGTGTAAATCCAAACTTTTTATATTCCAGAAATAGTTAAGGCAATTTATAAAATTATTTTTTTCTTTTTTGAGTTAATTTTTTTTCCACCTTTTAAACAGCTCATTGATACAGTTGAAAACAAACATACTTTCCTTTACCCACATTGTTAAGCAGATGGCTACTAATTTTGGGTGCATGCATACATATATATATATACTTCCTATCAGACTTTTTCTCTAGCTCTCATATGTACTTGAACTCTTGAAGCTTCAACTTTCAGCCTGTCCTTCTGTATTATTATATCTTGTTATATAAAGATTTCTTTGGTATTTATCAACACTGTGCATTTTCTTTTAATCATTACACAAGGCCAACATATACTCAAATCAAATATAGCAATATATGGTGGGAACGGACAATGTTATAAGATAACCCCCACAAATCCAACATACACTCATTGACATTAGTGTTTGCTGAATGCTTATTGAAATCAAACACCTGATTGGTGTAGAATGCATTTTACTAGTTGCAACAATGATATAAGTGACAAGCCATGGTTGTTTCTGCTGGTGCAAATTTTTCCTTGATGATCACAATACATAGCCAATAGTGGTAACTATGTGAAAAAAACAGTATTTTGTAAGTGAAAACTTATTTTTATCAACAGTATTATTATGCTCTATCTGTTGTAATGGAAAATAAAATGGCCTGTGTGCCAAAGTAAGATAGTCACAGGAGGCCCACTAATGTTTATAAATTAAAGATGTGAAATCTGATAAGTGGAACAAAAATGGAAAATAGAACAACAAACTTAAAATTTAATACAAAATTTATTTAAAATATAGACCAGAGTCCTTGTAGGTTAAATTAGCATGTAAGTCCACAGTTCAAAAGTTAAGTTCACATGTCTGGTGAAAGTGTTGAAAATTTGCTGGTTAAGTACAATGATGAACCTTCCTAAACCAAGTGAGTTAGGTTGATAGAAAAGCCGGAAGTGCAGGGCTGTTGTAAGTAGGTCCATTAATGCTGATCAACAAAGTGAGTTAGGTTGAGATATAGATGCCAGAAGTAGGAACCATGGTGTAGCCAGAAGTTTGTGGTTGTTATAAGCAGGTCCATTAATGCAGATCAAGCAGATGAGTAGAGTTGAAATAAGGGCCAGAAGTAATGAAGGCCAAGTATACTGGCAGGTAAAGGTCCGTGGTGGCCAGAAATAAGAGTCTGTGGTAGCCAGAAATAAGAAAAAGGGCAAGAATATCGGAAGTAAGAATGGATAGGAAAGCCCATCTAGCATCCAGTTGGCAGACTGTAACTTAATACAGAACCTGTGTTTACAACAGTACAGACTTCCGGTATCATTTCCTCCTCCTCTATGCCTTGAGTTCAGTGAGAAGTCACCAGGTTAAATGATAAGGGAGTGTAAGCATTAACTAATCTTGAAAAGTACTAATAATCCCAATAAAAATAATTCAGAGGTGCTACAAAATATAAAAATGTTCACAAAGTGTCTTCTGACTAGGTTCGTAACACTGAAAGAACTAAAATGTCATTAGGGTTACCATGAAACTAAATGAACATAAATTGAAGGGTGTGTAGCAATGCAATGAAGACAAGGTCAAGGTCATGAAGACATAACATCTGCCTTTGGTCATGTGGACAGAGTAGTGAAGGGCTAGAATAAGCTCCTTTTCCCAGATAATTGATCATATCAATTAGAAATAACTGTAAGTCTTAAAATCTTTTGGAAAGGTAACCTTCCTACTGAAATGAGTCTGTTTAAGAGGAGATAACTTTATCAGTCTGTATACTAGGCTGCACTTTTGGTCTGGAACAACTGATGTATGTGTTTTTTCAAGAAAAGCTGGTTTAATACAGTCTATAGAAACTATATCAGTATAATTACCATACTGTATTGTAAAATATTTATCAGAATGGTTTCTGAATTTGAAAGGTCATAGATAAGCAGGAATTAGAGGTCGTTTGACAGCAGTCAATTAGTCTTAGTGTTTGGACACTAAGTGAAGCAGTGAGGCATATGGACTATCAGAAGGACAGATGATGCGATCATGCAACATTTCTATGAAGGCTTTCTTGGCGAATTGTAACTGATGTGATGGCAGTCACCAGGGACAAGAATATCTCGGCTGACCAGATGTTTTTTATGTGATGCTGAAGCTGGTGCTTGACTGAATCAATATTCTTAATGGGATGTGAAAGTTCCTCACACTGATTCAAGATGTTAAGGTATTCTCAACTGTGGCACATCACTATGCTGATTCCAGTTGTATTCTGCCATGAACGGGTCCCCATAACATATGTTGGAAATATTGTCAATGAGTGTTTTTGTATGCATGTGAACCACCAAATTGAAATTTGCCAGAAAGTTGGCATCAAGAATAGGTGTTTTTATGTCCACAATAGTGAATGACCAAGTGAAAGCCCAGCATATGCCTATATTCAAGGTGGAGAGATTTGTCAAATGTAATGTTGGAGCCATTAGCTGGTTGTAGTTTAAAAAGGAAGGGCTTTGTGGTGGGATTTTTAGTGACAGGTATTACACTAATTGCAACACCAGTATCAACCAGAAATTGTAATTTGTTATTGCTGTCCCAAAAATAAAAAAGGCAACAAGATTTGTTACTACCAGCAAGGTCTGTCACTTCTACTTGCTGGGTGTTCTGTTTACCTGAGCTGAATTATATATACAGGGAGATGTACGTTTCACTTTGGTACCATGAATTTGATGATACCAACAAAAGTCTGAGATAACTGTCTGATTATGGCTAGAAGATTGTTGTCAACCCTTTTTGTGATAATTAAAGGGAGATCTGCTCTTAGGTCTTTGATCAATGTATATAATTTCAACTCTCTCACTTGTTGCTGGAGGTCAGATACTGCCTTTTCCAAATGCCTAGTATTAGTTTGGCTTTTGTTAGTCTCATAGAGAGGGTTTACATTATGATTAAGTTGAGTAAATGTCCAGTCAGCTGCATCAGCCAATTGTTCAAATGGTGTGTTTTCGGACATGAGGGCCAGTATTTGAGTGACAGTAGGAGGCAATCAATCAAACCATAAATCTCTAAGAATTGGTTCTGCCATAGTGTTTTTTCCAAGAAAACTCTTTATATATCACAAGAGCTGAGTAGGTGTTCAGTCATTTCTGGTCACATTATCGAAGAGCTTATGTAATAAATCTTCATCCAAGTGGCCAGTACATTTAAGAATTGCCTCTTTTAGGCAGGAATATGGCTTGTTCTCAAGGTTGGATTTCAGCAGGTCTGCTACTTCGTCAACAATAGATGGAGGTAATGTAGGTACTAAATGAGCAAACTTAGATATTTTTGTGATGTAATTTTCCAAATGAAAAAAATTGCCTCAATTTGCAAAAAACAATTTATAATATTAATCTTGTTGAAGGGCAGAAAAGGTGCCATGAGTGTTGCCAAGCTAGAAACCTCATTAGTATCATTTGTTGCGATATTGTTAAACCTTATGAGATCACATCAGGAGTAAGATGTCATATCCTGACTCAGTGAGGAGACCTGGGTAAATAATACTATATATGCAGATGGTAAAATACAGGCCTATCTGGTATGAGCTCAAAAAGAGTGAAAAGAAATAAGAGAAACAATAATCTCAGAATACAATGAAAATAGAAAATATTTTAATATTAAAGGTAGTACTGTAATGTTTATGAAGAAAACCTTAAAAAATCTATAAAATTAAGATTTGGTAAAATGAATAAATTAAACACATTCAAATTATAGTAGACACATTATTAAATTTATATTAAATATAAATTCTTTATTTGCTCGTTTAACCATCATCTAGCATTTCATCTTATAATATCATTTAACCAACATCATAAGGGAGAATATAATATATTAACTCAATATATCAGATTAATGGTGGAAAAAAACATACATAAGACAATTGAATAGTTTTCTTCAATTTTGATAGTTTCTTTGTAGCTTTATCAATATTTGACTGTTTTAGTTAACTTTTTTAACCAAATGAAAGATACAAGATATAATTAGAATTAATCTTAAAAATACTTTTTAAACATATTTTCATTAAGTATATAAATTTTTAACTCAATTTATTTTGATTGTGAGTTTACAAACAATTCAAATGAATGATCACAAGTTTCTAGGCAATATATATTGAAAAAAATCTTTTCATTTTTTTAATTTACAATAAAGAAAACTAATAAACAATTAGTTTGATTATTTGATAAATACAATGCCAAGCCAATTTTTACACATCATTTATATCTGTTAAAAAATACACCAGCAACAAATTCTTTAACACCTGATAGCATTACATGAAAGTGCGGAATTTTACAAAATTAATTCTTTATATAAAAATAAAATAATTAATTTTAATTCAAATTGAATGAATATTTTCTTGGTTCAAATACAAAGTTTTATCTCAAAATATAAGACTATCAGTTGGAATAATTGGCTTACTTTGAAGTCAATTTTTGCTTATTAAAATCATGAACTCAAGAGTAAAGGATTCAATGTTAGGCCTTACTATTTTAATACTCTGAAACAAGCATGGTAAATCCATGCAACAAAAGTGGTATACATATTTCATGATTAGATGTGGCACATTATATCCCAGTGATTTTTGCCAATCAGCTTATAGAAAATCAGAGAAAAAGAGAAAATGACAGTAAACATGGATCAGACGAACAATGGAAAAATAAGAGGACTACATACTTGCATTTATAGACCCATTTTCACTCAGAGAATTAGAAAATCATGAAAATGTCTAGTAATATACTTATGGAACTGTCAGGTGTCCAGAAATTGATGTCACTTTCTTTCAGCAATACGTCTAGTCTCACCGAAGCCTAGAAGAGCAGTGGTCCCCCACGTCCACTCGCTGGTTTTTAACAGGTAGCGTTGTTCTCTTATGCAAATAAGCCTGCTGCATAAAAATGGCAGTAGGCATACGCACGTGTGACCGACTCTCAGGGAATGGTTTGATACGCGAGGCAGCGAATTCGTTTTGCTCCTGGTAACCATTGTCCATCCATGTTTGCAAATCATGCTCATACTCCTCTCTCATCTCACTGGATACCTGATATTCAGAGATCTGATTCTGAAGTTTTCCCTGGTGCATGACCTGCCAACCACTTCCAGGCTGCGACGCAAACTCCCTGCCGTTCATTGAATTTCGCACTGAAATCAGCTTTGCTTATACGAATCGCTGCACAGACGGACCGTGGTTTTTCAAACTCCACACTTCCATGCTGCGTGATGCAAGCTCCACCGAGTGCCTTAATGGTGTCGATGCCAAGCAACAGGTCGAAATCCAGGGGTTTCCCTCACATAACCAGCACATCGATTGTAGCAGTATTACCGGTTGCTGTGCGAATTCTGATGGTGCCCCTTCCACAGCAAGCCTGCATAGCTCCGGTTAATGTAGATACCACCATACCCTGCTTCGACCAAGACCAACATAAACTCACACTCAAGATTGACTGTGAGCACCCAGAGTCAAGGAGAGCCGAGCATGGTGTGCCATCAACACACACAGTAATGATGGGTAGCACCGAGTTTACTTACTGTTTGGAGAGTGGACCGGCGCTGAAGTCTCGTCGCCACCTCCGTTTCCCAGACAATTTTTGGCCAGATGACCGGTCTTGTTGCATCAATAGTAATGCGCGTTAGTTGCCCTTCGCCTCTTCACGCAGTCCCTCGAGAAGTGATTGGGCCCATTACATTCATAGCATGTGATAAGTGGGCCCATGTCTGGGGAAGATTGAGGAGTCTGGGAGGGCTGGTTCCCTCTCTGCTGTCTCGTCCTTTATGATTGCCCGAGCTCGAGCCAATAGCTCCTCGAGAGACATATCATCTGCCCTGGCCGAGGACCGCAGGAGCCTTTTCACAGAATCAGGAAGCCCCCGCACAAACACACATGTCATCGCACTGTCTGGCACTCCTCCAAAAAGGATGGACAACTTCCGTAGATCTGCCAAATATACATCTACAGTCTCACCCGGACGCAATACACGCGCCTCGAATTGTTCATACGCCGTGAATTTATCAGGGGCAAATGCTGTCATCAATGCTCCCTTGATTCGAGCTATTAATTTAACTCCAAACTAAAAATTTAATTAAAGGAAGTAGTATTTATATTGCTTTTATATTAAGTCAATATATTATATAAAAATACTAAATATATTTATATAAATATTTTCATAAAAATTAATGGGAGATTTGTGTAGTGCATCTCAGGAAAAATTGATTTATAGAACATGGGGGATTGATCAAAAC